CGTTACATGAATATTGCCAGTGATAACAGTGACTTCTTTTGCATGTCATGTCATGTATGTAAGCATATGGAAAGGTATAGAGAATAATTATTGAATACCCGTATGCTGGCCACCCAAGTCATAGCAGAAACACTTTCTTCTGTTCCTTCCTCTCCCTCCCTGGAGGTACCCGCTGTGCTAAATGTGCTCTTGGTTATCCCTGTGGGTTGCTTTTTGCTTTTATTACATATGCATGTGTCTTTAAACAATATGTAAGTAACGTTTTGTATGCTCTTAAACTATATGTGGATTGAACTGCATATATCCTTCTGCAGCCTGTTTTTTCCTCTCAACGTTGCTTCTGAGATTTACTATGCTGATACATGTAGCTTTTATTCACTTGTATTGAAACATTTGTTTTTGAACTATTTCCGGCATACACAAAGATGTGGAGAGTACTGTCACAAATACATTGGGACCTACCACCCACGTGAAGAATTAAAATGCTGCAGTTACTGAAGCCCCCCACGTACCCTCTTCTGATCACCTCTGCCTCGCTTGAAGTAGCTGGGCTGAATGGTGTAAATGTGATTCCTGTATTTGTCTTTGTGTCATCACACGTGTGCAGATGCTCCATCACTGATGTTTGTTTGGCAGATCTTGAATGTCTTTTATATAGATGCTGCCATCCTGTATTTACTGTTCTGCAGCTTTTCCCATTTGTAAGACTTGTCCAAGCTGGTACATGCAGCACCAGCTCATTTCTCATCCCTGTGTAGTATTCCATCGTGTGAATCTTCAGTGATTTGTTTATGCATCTTTCTGTTGCCAGGTTCTTTTGTTGCTGTTATGAGCAGCACTACCATGACCATGTCAATACATGTCTCCCATGCAAATGTGTGCAAGTACCTCTAGGGTATTTTTCCAATTACCAGAGCTGCAAAACAAGTGACCCCAAAACTGGACATGTTCTGATAGTGGACTCAGTGGTCTAGGAGCTTGGACTGTGCATAGCAGGGACAGCTTCCCTCCACCCTGCGGGATCTAGTACCTCAGCTGGAAACTCCGAGGCTGGGGGCCTTTGAGGGTGGCTGCAGTTCCTCTCCATGTGGCCTCATTTGGGCTTCTTGGCAGCACGATGGCTGAGTACCAAGGACAGGCCTCCTGAGAGAGCATCCTGACAGCCAAGCCTTTTGTGACTAACATCTCTTCTGTCACATTGTTTGTTAAGCAGTCCCAAAGGACTGCCTAGGTTCAAGGGAAGAGGAAATAGACACCACCTCTCGGTGGGGCGTAGCAAGGTTCTAGAACTTGTGTGAACAGAAGTATTGCTGTGAACATCTAGGGGAAGTGCCATTGTCACAAGAGTACGTGTACCTATGAGTGCAGTGGCTGGGACACAGACGAGCACTGTCACCTTCATTAGACAATTACTAAATTGCTCTCTGAAGTGGTTGCACCAATTATTTTCCCACTGGTAATGTATGAGAATTCTTATTTTTCTAGGTTATTTTCAGTGCTTAGACTTGTCAGAGCTCTTTGCCAGTTTGATTGATGTTCAGTGATTATATGTACTATATATGGTTGGCATTTCACTTTTCTTGTGGTATCATTTACAGGGTGCAAGTTTTGTGTTTTTTTTTTTAAATGGCAGTGCCAGGGACTGAACCCAGGACCCGTGCATGTGAAGCGTGCACTCTGCCGCTGAGCTGTACCCTCCCAACAGGTTCTGTATTTTAATATCCAAAATATAGTCGTTATTTATGGTTTGGGCATGTCTTGTTTACAGAATCTTTTTCTACCCCCAAATTGGAAAGTTGTTCTCTCATACATTGCCTTCTAAAATTATAAAGCTTTACTTTATATATTTAGGACTTTAAACTACCCAAAATTACCTCTCATCTATGGTGTGTGATCAGAACTGAACTTCATTGTTTTTCCAGATGATTAACCAGTTGCCCCAGTACCATTTTTTTAACAGATCTTTTCCTTACTGACTTTTTAAAAAAAATTAATTTTTTATTGAAATACTGTTGATTTACAATGTTTGTTTCTGGTGTACACATAGTGATTCAGTTACATTATGTATATTCTTTCATGTTCTTTTTCATAATAGGCTATTACAAGTTATTAAATATGGTTCCCTGTGCTCTACAGTAGGGCCTTCTTATTTATCTATTCTGTATATAGTAGTTTGTATCTGCTAACCCAGACTCCCAATTTATCTCTTCCCTGCCTGGTAACTATAAGTTTGTTTTCTATGTCTATGAGTCTGTTTCTGTTTTGTAAATAAATTCATTTTATCATGGCATCTTCTTTTTCCCCACATATACATTTTTTCCCCCTGACTATTTGAGAGTAAGTTGCAGACACTGTGCCCTTTACCTCACACTTTCATACTTGGCCACAGACGGTTATCCAAATAAAGAAATCTGACAGTGGTGCAGTCCATGTCCAGATTGTTCCCTTATGGCCTTTTCCCCCAATCCAGGATCTAACCCAGGGTCGTGACTTACGTTCACTTATCTCTTTAGCTGCCTTTAATCTGAAACGTGTTAACCTTTTTCTTTCATGACTCTGACATTTGTGAAGAGTATGGGTGGTTATTTTATAGACTGTCCCTCAGTTGATATTATAATATTTAAATGTGGTGCAATTCTTTGTTTTTCCTTGTAGCTTTTAGGAGAGTATGAGTCCCTTGGAAAAGAACACGAAAGAGTAAAGGTAATGGTTGATGATTCATGAAAAGCGTTGGCCCCTCTCTCCCTTTCTTCTCCCCTGCTCTGTCCCCATCTAGCTATTTGAACTCGAACACTCACTTCTCTTGTGTCAGTATCCTTATTTTCAAATATCTGCCAATGTAACTCACAAGTTTGTCGGATTTGTTAATTTCGCAAATATTTATTGAATGGCTGTTGCATTTGAGATGATATGAAATTTTTAGAAGAGTGTAGAATGCCAACAGATGCAAATAATTATTTAATGCTATTTAAATATAAAGTTTTATTTTCAAAATACTAGCTTTATGTAGGGTTGAGTTGATTATATTTGAATTCTTAATTAAAACTCTGTTTGGGGTTTACGTATTTGAATTCACTGAAACCCCACAGTAAGTAAGTGGGGTCCAAGTATTTCTGTTGCATAAAATTCAGGGTTGTGATTATTCAAGGTTAGTGAAAAGGCCTGCACAGCTGGGTGGCCCAGATGTCGGGTTCTCGGGGGCCAGTCATTATATCTGAAATCTCATCATTGCAGGTTTTAGCTTTGCTACTTACTGACGTTTTAGTCAAATTTGTGGCTAAAACATGTCCATTTTAATACGAATTGTTTCTAATCAAGTAAAGCACAGTAGGCTTTACCTATTAAACAGCAGGCTTACACACAGCTGTTTGTTTAAACCCGTGTTTTGCGCTCTCATTTTCCTCTTAAATTATGGGTGTTGGCTCTCTGGTTGATGCCGTATGTGCTGAGTTTCTGCATAATTTTCTTTGTAGTTCTTTGGTGTAGTCTTAGATTAGTTTTGTATTATGCATTTTAAAATAAAAGGAATACATCTGAATATTTATCTTCAGCTATCTGAATTTTTCCTTTATTTTCACAGGATACATTAAATACAACCGAGAACAAATTGCTTGATGCACATACTCAGATTTCTGATCTGAAAAGGTAAAATACATTGTCTTACTAATAAGCAAATACCTCTAACTGTTCTTTCAGTCCTTAAATATATGTCTATATTAAAAGTGATGAAAAGGAGGATTTTGAAGCACTTTGAAATTAGATTTTATCCTCATCTTCCCTTGACCTGGAAATACATTTGATTTTAGCTAAAGATTTTTAAATGATTAAACTGTATTGGTGGCTGTGTCTGAAAGGCATGCATGTCCCTAAACATAATATATATTTACTTAGCGTAGGTGAAACCTAGGTGATAGTAAAGCATTGAAAAGCGTTCTAAGAAGCAGTCTGGTTCACTGAATTACTTTTGTGCTCCAGAAAGAAAACCGCATTCACACCAATTTTGTGGTCAGCTGCTTGCTTAGAGACCTGGCTTAGGGACTGTATTCATGATCTGATGGGCTTGATTAAGTAGGAACAGTGTTGTAAGTGGCCCCTGTGGCTAGTGGTTAGACACTTCTAACTGGCTTTAGAGTACATTTTTGTGTTTTTTATTTGGAGAGAAGTAATGTCCCTCATTTAGAGATTTTACTGCACTCTTAAGGACTTCCATAGGAAGGAACAAGAATGCTGTCTAGCTTTCTTGTCTGCTCGAGTCTTTTCTGTGATACATTCAATTTTAGGGATTGCTTCCTTATCAGATTGGAATAAAGCATCAGTCCTGTTAAAGTTTTCTTTCTCGAACCTTCCTTGCAACAGAGTAGCTAAGAATTTGAGTTTAAACATTGAGATGAAGACATATTCAGTTTAAAAGAAGAGAAAGAATGCCAAAATATCCTCTAAACAATTGGCCAGGGTACCTATTTCTTGTTGGTAAACTTGGAAATAAGCTTTTATTCTGAACAGGGCACGGATTTGGTAAGCTGCCTGTGGGCTGAGAGTTGTCCAGGACAGGAAGTTCTTTTTATTATCTCTGCTTTGAATGGTAGGCCTGCTTCCTCTCTTGTGAGAGCCTGTGTATATTTCATATGAATACATATATATTAGACTTAAATATGTTAGAATTGCATTGTATTTGATTGCTTGAACTTACTATTTTCATTTTGTTTATACTATGTGTTTTGATCTGCAGTCAAATTTATTTTCTATTTGCTGTATTAAGCCCATTTGTTGTTCCCTTTTCCTTCCGTTGTGGCATATGAAGTGCTCCTGTGTAGAATTTTTTCTGTTTGCCTTTCTATTTATTCTCCCCGATTTTGTTCAGCTTATTAAAGTTTAATGGTGGCATTTTACTGTGAAAAAGACACATGGATTTGCAGCTCTTTTGTCACCCTAAAAGTATCTGTTAAAATAAGTAATTTATAGTTGAGCTGAATTTTAAGTTTGTTGTCTGTTTATTGAAATGTACTTAATTTGTCTTATTGCTTTTGAATTAGAACAATTTCAAAACTTGAAGCTCAGGTCAAGCAAGTAGAGCATGAAAATATGTTAAGTCTTCGTCATAATTCTAAAGCTCCCATGAGACCCTCACGCGCCAAGTAAGTTATTTTGTTTAATGTCTGTAAAGCTAGAAATAGGTGCACCCTGTCATTGAACTGAGATGCTCATCTGTCTAAATCATGAGAAAGACAGGGTTAAAGGTCATTATGGAAAATAGATGTGTAAAAACATGTAATTGTTAGATGTCCTGAAAGCTCTTATGCAGAGGCGTTTGCCAGAGAGAGGGAATAGTAGAGCCAGACTGGGGTGAGGAGAATTGGGATGTTTTTGTTTCTGACTGTGCCCAGCCGTGTGACCTTAGGCAAATCACTTATTTTTTTGGAGCTCAGTTTTATTATCTGTAGACAAGAACATTAGGCTGGCACATCTCAAAATTCCAGAAATTTTATTCCCATGTTAATGGAAAGACTTACAGAGGTGATCTTCATTAGGTTGTATGGATTTCTCTTTAGTTTTTCAAAATTAGCTTTGTTATAATCCAAGAGTATTACCTTGATAATACATTTACAGAGTGTTTTTCGTATTAGAATTGTTTTTTTTGTTATGATGTTGATGTAAGTAGTATTAAGTGAGTAGATAACTTCCTGATATTGATGTTTTATCAGAAAAAAATTAAATTGTAAATGTCAACCTTTCTACATTGTAATTGTCAAATGAGAAACTTTTTCTAGATCTTTACTAATGAGTCTCTGTGGGACATAATGAATTATTTAAGTAAAAACTGTGTAAATAACTGACATTGCACATTTGAGATTGAACAAGAGGGAGGACTGAGGCTTGAGTCAGGGAGGACCTTTCTGTGGAGATGACGTGTGAGCTGAGAGGTGAGGTGTGAGCAGAGCTGTTCCGGCGGGAGGTGTGGCGGGAAAGGGGTGTTCTAGGTAGAGAAACTTCTCTTGTTAAGTCCTGAGGTAGGAAAGAGCTTAGTCTTATGTCTGAAGAACCCAGAGGAGGCTAGTGTGGCCTGACTGTTCCCAGCGAGGGACGAAGGAGCCCCAGATAAAATCACAGGCACGTCGTACACAACTTTCTAAGCCACGGCCAAGAGTTTGGAGTTTATTCTGAGTCTGTTGGGGTGCCTTTGATGGGTTAGATTGTGACAGTAAAATTGTGTC